AGAGGTTAGTACAATCCATGCCTAGTACTCATATAAAGTGAGAACTCATATAACCTACATTTCTTGTTTTGTTTAAAAGAGTACTCATATAAAGTGAGAACTAAGATATGCGTGATGGCATTGTTCCACTCATATTCGTGAAATTTTAGAATATATACAAAATGTCACAAAAAAAAGTATGTAATCCATAAGTTAGGTTATTTATACAATAACGATATAAGTAGCGTGCAATCAATGCTGCCCAAGTTTCCCATGAGTACCACATGTTGTTGGTTTGGGTATTTTTTGGCTTCGACGTGGTTGGTTTGCCACTACTGTATGGACCTAAGTAATATGTGTCAACAGTGTAGCATCTTGAATTTGAGTGCTTGTGCCTTCACCTCCTTCACATTGCTCAGAAGTATGATGATGTGAGTCCCTATCGGGCGTAAACTCTGAAAAAGTCACAGGGGACCTACCACTCCCAATCGATACACCTCTCTCATGCATGACTTCGGTATGAGGGGTGACAAAAGTAGATGCGCCAGCTTGGTCCTCAGTAGCCATTGAACCTCCATGGAATCCAGTTTGTGTGGCGGGTTCTGGTGATCGGAGTTTGCGACGTCGTCTACCGCCATGCTGACTTCCGTGGGTATTTCTAGGAGTTTGTTGAACACGACATGGATCAGCATGTAGTGGAATGTCCTGTGGTACGTGTGGAGGGCGAAATACAAGTCGGCGTGACTCTCCTACATGATGCAAAGATGTGGATGCAAAGTCCGTCAACTCTTGAAAGTATCTGCTGTATTGTTCATCACTAATTGCAAGAGAGTCCTGTGCCATGAAATACATGCGAGACATGGCATCGTTCTGGAGAAACAAATATGAGAATAAGAAGGAGATACTGTGGTAAAAAATAGTTTAAAAAAGTGAGCAAACTCAAAGTAATTATTAAAAGTGGGTTGGAAATAAACTTACAAGATACTGTGCCCTAGCATTATCACCCTGAAAGCCCTCTGGGAAAGCGGGAAATCGACTCGGATTTGAAATATAAATCCCCGTCTGCTCCCGATACCACTGAACATACTCATCCGATGGATATGTAGTATCTTCAATTACAGTGCCATCTTGTACATGCTCACGTCGATCAGTCCAAATATCAATATATTATCTATGCGTGGTGTTCCAGTCTTGATTCGCCCTACCACGACGATCTAGAGAATGTACAGCTGCCTGATTATCCGTCAACCTCATATCAGGCAGGGATTGATGAAACCCAAACTGCCGCATAACCCGATGAGGGAGGTGCGGCTCTACTACATCCCAGCAAATAAGATACGTTACGGACCTCCAAATATCCCGACCCGCAGTACAATACGCAGGAAGAGAAGCGAGAACGTCCTCCGAATATGGCTGCCATATGAACTGAAAAAAATATAAAATCAAAGTTGTTTCATTTTGTCTATTAAGAAATAATAAAACTTCCCAATATTCAAATTGGACAATTTCATGAAACAACTGGTTGGCTAATAATAATAGATTGGCTAATAATAGCACAATACATGAAACATAAGCAACTGGTTGGGATTGATCAAGATGAATGGGAACTCAGGCAATATAGCAATTTATCCCAATGGATAACCATTTCCGATCATCACTTCAATCTCAGTTCAGGCATCATTGAATATGCCCGTTAACTTTGTGCTTTCTTTTGCTTTTGTGAAAAAGTAAGTAAAACATATTGGCGTAGACCTTCTAGAAATTATTTCACCACAGCTTCATCCATCAAAGCCTTAATCTGGATTATTATTCTATCGGAACAGCACAAGTACTCATATTATTCTTCATTTCCATTTAATTACATGTTGAACTATAACAAAAAAAGCATGGGACCAACATTACAACCGAAGTTAAACTTTGTTGGATCCATGAATGCATGTACAAGCGATATCATGGGACCAACATTACCTATTGGTCCAGTGAATACGGTATTAACTACAGGCATTTGGACGATTTCTTCCTTCTCGATATAAATCTCCGCCATGTATGAAGCTCTTTCGATCCAAAGATCGTACATTACATCAAGAGTTTCATCATCCACCACTGCGGAAACAGTATATTTGGAACTCTCCAACAGTTGACGAAGAAACAATTTCAGCTTAAACATCCCTTTATCAACCCCAATATAGTGGTAAATCCTGTCAACCAACTCCCCGTATCCAATTCTATACCTCAAAGTGAATGTCCGGTTGGAAGTACGAGGCAAATAACAAACAAAATCACCCTCGTAATGTATTTCTCCTCCCCAATATAGGTTTACCCGCAGAGGTCTTTCTACAGACATGTCTGTGAAATGAATCCCTATTTTGGGGACAATAAATTAGAATTAGTAGTCCAAGGGTCCAAACAAATGAAAGAGGGCGGACGCTAGGTCGAAATTGGAACTATTAAATAGACTAATTGCGATCCAAATGTTTATGAAAAAATTAAAAATATGTATGAAATATGCTATAAATGACGATAGGAAAAGCCTAAAACTCCGAACGAAATTTTTAGAAAATTTGGACAGAGTCTCCCCTAAAAATAGACTAAAACTCCCTGCCAACCAATCCACAAATTTCACTAAAACTCCCTGCCAACCAATCCAAACAGGGTTTATATGAAGTAGTAATGACATTTGTCACACTACATATTGTCAAGAGACCTTATAATTTTCAAAGTACAAGTATAAGAAATGTACGGGAAGTTATATATATTTGGGCTCCACATTCACACCGCATAACAAGATCCACATTCACAATGATGTGATATTCTAGCAATGAATCTTATAAAATTAATGTTTTTCCCTGTAGCTGATTTTGCCACTTTTTTAGCATTATAGATTTTGCCAATTACAAAAAATACTACAAGGTTGGTCATTGACTTTAAATCCATCAATTCGCCATAAAATAAATCCGTATTTCATAGTGGTTTGGACTTCTGTGGACTTCTATGGTTTGGACGACGGACTTCCCAAACCAGGTCTCTACGCTTGTGTCACCAACCTTGTAATAGTCAGTTGCCCTCACAAAGAAAACTCTATAAAAAATTCGACAGAATCTCCCCTATAAATGGGCTAAAACTCCCTGTCAAACAATCCAAATATCCATGAAATTCAAAAGCTCCAATCTATAAACTACATTATGTCAATAAAATTTCTAAACTCCAATTGCAAAACATACAATGTCCAATGTAGATAGTGTTTCGACCAAAAATAATAGCTGCGAAATAGATTTTAAAAACAAAAACTGAAAAGTGGGCACTTGCCACCCAAATTTGGTACATAACCCTTGCCCTCACATTGAGTATTAGAGACTTTGTCTACTATGTGCTTAGCATTTTAGAGAATTATTTTGTACATTAAACTAGTCATAAATGATTAATTATTATCATTTTAAATTACACAAGACATATTAAAGTACTAATTATTGTAATTATTATCATTTCAAATTATACAGGGCGTATTAAAGTATAATTATTGTAAATGACTTTGATAACTACATTAGTGAAAAATAAGTATTTGTCAAATATATTTATATACACTTGTTAAAGTACGACAATGGTGTCTAAATGTATATAACAAAAAATTAAATGGCATGCTAAGACTGTTAAAGCAACGGAAATGCATCCAAGACAACTTCAATGCTCGGCATCAAATTTCGGAAATTGCTAACATATATTGTAATTTCAAAAAAATTTATTTTCCCATTTTAGTTCAAGGCCCTTATTTTTCTAAAATCTTCTCTAGAAACACAACTCTAATGTACGATTTACCCATAGCTGCCCTAGAGAAATTCGTTTCTCATTTGCATCTCATGTTTAATTCCCTTAATTAGAACCCATTTTCTATTTTAAATGGAACTTGACGCTTTTTTCTTTTTTTTTGTTTTATCTTCTTCAACGCAAAAAATAGACATTTTTAAAAAAATTATAATGATATAGAAATTTCTAAAATTATGATGAATTTTAAAAGAATTCTACAAATGGGACATTTTGAGCATGGGATTCCGTTCAAAGGGTCTTCACATTCAGCAAATGCGAACTCACGGAGCTCGAATTTTCGAACAACGAAATCCAAAAAAAAAAAAATTAAATAAAAAATAACCAGATCTCGCATTTATGAAATGCGAGGATCCGAGCTCGGATTATTTCTGGCATCCCTCGGATCCAACAGGGTTTGGATCCGTCTCAATAGATGATCAGACGAGCCCTCGGATCTCAGTTACCAACTATGGATCCGAGGTCGTATCACCCATTTTCGCCTTTGATTCTCAAAGGATCCGAGGTCGGATCCGTCTGTGTTGCGTCGGATCCGACCTCGGATCTTGCTTTTTCTGCACTAATTGCAGAAACTGCAAATAAACTGCAACAAATTGGAAACAGAAAAATTGCAAGAATTCGAAAAATGTAACGTATATCTTCAAATCCACCACAAAAATTACAAAAATAAGCACAACCAACATCAAATTTATACCCAAATTTCACAACAAATCTGAACTTGCCCTTGGATTCAAGTATTCAAGTATTAATTCAAGTATTAAGTGACGCATTGCAAGTGGAAAAGCCTCACCTTTATGCTGTTTGAGAGTCACAATGGGACGGCAATGCTGGCAAATTTTGGGAAGCGCACTCGCGGAACCAGTCTTTGGATGCTCCGGTGTTTGGATGCTTCGATGTGCAGAACCCAGCTCTGTTTTCTTTGTTTTGCTGTTCGATAACTCTGTTTTCTTTGTTTTGCTATTCGACAGACTCACTTTTCTCTTTTTTTTTTCGAAATGGGGTGTTGGCGCTCCTCAGTGTGGATGTCGGTGACCTCGCACTGACCTCGCATTCCGCGAATGCGAGGTCAGTGGGATCTCGGTCACCATACTGACCTCGCATTCCCCGAATGCGAAGACCCCATTTTTAGAAAACACTCCGCGAAACGCCCTCGTTGTAGAATTCCTTTTTTTTTTCCATCATAAACTAAGAATTCACCCTACATGGCGAAGGCAAGCACAAATTTGGGATATCCAACTTATGTCTATTCCAGGCCTACCTCCCCCAACATAGATTTGCTTAATGAGTTCCATTCTTCGGGTGTCACAATATTCAAGGTAATATTCTTTTACATGATGGATTTGCATGCTTTCTTTGTTAACAAGGGACGAGGAGTTCAAGTGGAGAACGACAATCGGATTTGGGTAAACTGAATCCTGTATCTAGGATGAGGAAACTAAAGGGGAATTCCACATTATGTTGTTTGCATCACATGCAACTGTAGATTATGCATATCGTCGTGTACTACGTACGTAATGGGAATTTTGACATTCACTAGTGTGATTCTCTCGTCACATTCCTATTAATATGATCTAGGCATGTGCAAACCTAGAATAGGATTTTCCCATCATAGTGGGACTAATCATGCACCCGCCAAACTCAATTATCTATAGAATTAACCTTCTAAAAGTAAATCGAACACTATCACAATTGACTTAATATAGAAGGGTACTATCTGAAATTGTCAGAAACTCAAGTTTTTGGAATTATCCCTATCATTTTTGTGTTGGTAAAATATACTTTATTCCTTGTAATTTAGTGCTTTTTTCACATGACCTCCTGTGGTTTAAAAAACTATATATGACCCCCTCTTAATTTGGACTAAAGTGTCAAAGTGATGAAATTTGCATTCCATAACGGAGTCAACTAAAATATCAAAAGCACATCTATGTAAAGTTTGAAATTATTTATTAACCACATGGGGATTATGTATATATTTTGAAAATCATAAGGGGATTATATGGTAAGCACTAAACTATAAGGGGGTTGTGTGGTAAAATACAAATCATAAGGTGTTAAAGTGTCATACAAATTATATTTATATATTTTGATCACTTTAACCGTTTTAGTTTTTAAATAAGAGTATTCTCAACATTTCTGTGGATTCCATTATAAAGGATCATTTCCATCATGTTGCCATTTTTAAATCACGAGAGAGTTATGCATAGATTTTGAAACTATAGAGGGTTTATGTCAGAAATTGCTTAACCACAGGAGGTAAAGTCCCTTTTTGTTATACAATCAAAATGGTAACTGTAACAATATCAGTTGCATCGAAGTATATATCTGTTCTTTTTTTTTTTTTTCAGCAACGGTAGTTTTTGTATTGAATAGACAAAAGGATATACACTTATATGAGCAAAGGCTCAAGCAGTACTATACACAAGTGTTAGACACACTGAGGATTAATCCATTCCTCATCTTGAAATAGGCCTAAAGCATAACCACTAATCAAATCACATCTGGAGTCTAGTCTCCTATCTAAACAAAAGGAGCATTTCTGAAACAAAGCTCTTAAATTGTTAATATCATCAGTCAGGGTAGCCATTTTGATATCCTTGGCTATTCCTTCCGTTAACCCTTTCAACAGCTGAGGGCTGGATATGTAGACTGTAATTTTCTGCCATTGCTGTTGTTTGGCCTTTATAATGGCCATCTTCACAGCTTCAGCAATATTCTGCACCTGATTCCTTGCTTTCCTATCAATAAGAGCCCAAGCTGCCACCAGTTGATGATTGACGTTAGTTGCTATAATCCCTGTGCCAATTCTATTAGTTGGTTCTTGCACTTGAGTTGAGATTCTGATCTGCATTTCATCACGTCCTCCCTCCTCTGGTTTTTCTTCCTCTTTATCTCTTGCAGCAATCTCAGGGGTCATATTCTCTTTGCTCCAAACTGTTGCTTGCTCATGCCATTCTTGTTGAGCCTTTATGACTGTTTTCCAGGGATGTTTACATTTTGCATTAAACTTCCACTCATTTCTCCTCTTCCAAATTTGCCAAAGGATGTTCACGGTTAATTCTATATGTTCCCTGCCCTCTGTCCTACATATGGCATCCAGCATAGCTGTCCACCAGGTTGTGAAGTTCCCTGTCTGATCAGACAACCCATCCCACTGTACTGGTGCCATCTTCCAAACCTCTTGAGCTCTGCTGCAATGAAAAAACATATGTTCAGTTGACTCTTCCTGTTCACCACAACCATCACAGATTGGATCACCTTGGTGTGTTCTTTTGAAAACAAGGTCGTTAACTGGTAACATACCATTTAGACACCTCCAAATGAAATGTTTTAACTTGCTTTTTAACTTCAGTTTCCACAGCCACTTCCATTGTTTCCCTTTGGAATTTGCTGAACTTGTTTCTGCTTCGTTTTCTCTACTTCCCCTGGATTGAGTTCTCTCTCTACACAGCACCTTGTATCCTGAGTTGACCGTGTAGTTGCCATGACCACTATGTACCCAGTAGTTACTGTCTTCCCTACCAGAGATACTGATAGGGATATCCAAGATTTCCACCGCATCTTTCTGGTTGAAAGTTCTAAGCACTAATGGTTTATTCCACCTAAAACCACTGATCAACTCATCCACTCTTCTGATATTACAGTTCTGGGGCATTGCAGAAGTGACTTTCCCATCCTCATTACCAGGGATCCAACTGTCCTCCCAAATGTTTGTTGTCTTGCGATTGCCTATCCTCTTTCTAGTTCCCTTTTGCACCAAAACTCTTACATTCATCAGACTTTGCCAGATCCATGAAGCACACTTTGGGACTTTACACTTGAAGATAGAATCCCTATGGAAATACTTTGCCCTCAAAACCTTGCTGACTAAGAGGTTTGGTTTGGTAATCAGCCTCCAAACCTGTTTAGCCAGCAAGGCTTTGTTAAACTTCTGTAAGTCCTTAAAGTCTAAACCTCCCTCTTTTTTCTCCATGGCCATTCTTCCCCAGTAGCACCAGTGCATCTTATCTTTCCCTTCGGTTTCTCCCCACCAATACTTAGCAAAAATGGAAGTCACTTCTTTGCACAGTGTGTTTGGAAGTTTAAAGCAGGACATTGTATACACTGGCAATGCCATAGAAACTGCCTTCAATAAGACTTCCTTCCCTCCTTGGCTGAGTAGCTTGTTCTTCCAGTTCTTCATTCTCTTGCTGATACTGTCCTTAATAAAACCAAAAATTTGCTGTTTTGATCTAGTTATCACCATAGGGAGCCCCAGATATTTTCCTTGAGTAGCTACCTGGATTGTGCCAAGGCTTTGTCTCACTTCCCTTTTCCTCTGATGACTGACATTGCGACTGAAGAAAACTGAGGACTTTTCCAGATTTATGGATTGACCAGACCCCTTCTCATACTTCCTCAGAATTTGAACAAGTTCACTTGCTTCCTCTTTGTCAGCATTACAGAAAATCAAAGAGTCGTCAGCAAAGAATAAATGAGTCAATCTTGGCCCACTTCTGCATATCTTCACCCCTGTGATCCTTTTATCTCCCTCAGCCTGCTTCAGTAAATTGGAGAAACCTTCTGAGCACAAAAGGAAAAGATAAGGTGACAGTGGGTCACCTTGTCTTATTCCTCTTTCTGGAGTTACAAATTCTTGTGGTACTCCATTAATATTGAAAGAGTAGGTAACTGAGGAGAGGCAGCTCCAAATCCACTTCCTCCATACTGTGCAGTAGCCCATTTTTTCCATCATGGCATCAACGAATTTCCACTCCACTCTATCATAGGCTTTTGACATATCTAGCTTCACAGCCATAAGTCTATTCTGTCCTTGTCTCTTATTGTTCATGTAATGCAAATATTCATGAGAAAGAATGACATTGTCAAGAATTTGTCTGCCTGGGATGAAAGCTGCCTGAGTTTTGCTAATGCAGTGATTTAAAACATTCTTGAGTCTATTGGCCAGAATTTTAGAAATCACTTTGTAAACAACATTACAGAAACTAATAGGCCTATAGCTCTTCAAGTTGGTAGGATTCTGGATTTTAGGGATGAGGGAGATGACAGTGTGATTCCAGGACTTAGGCATGTTGCTAGACCAAAAGAAGTGCCTAATGGCAGCAATTAAATCAGATTTCACAATGTGCCAAAATTTTTGGAAGAACAAAGGATTCATGCCATCTTGGCCTGGTGCCTTATTTGGATTCATGGAAAAGAGAGCAGATTTAATTTCCTTCTCCTCCACATCCTGAGTTAGCCTTGCATTCATCTCAGTAGTGATAGTGGAAGGTATACCATTTAGAATCTCACCCAGACCCTCACAACCAGAACTAGCAAAAAGGACTCTATAGTATTCAGCCACTTCCTTTCCCAGCTCCTCCTCACTCTTAGTCCAAGAACCATCATCCCTTTGTATGTTGAGCATCCTATTTCGCCTTCTTCTCCCCTTCACACAAGCATGAAAGAATTTTGTGTTCTTATCCCCTTCTCTCAGCCAATCAATCCTTGCTTTTTGAGCCCAAAACTGCTCTTCTTCTGTGTAGGCCTCTTTTAACTGAATTTTTAACTCTGAGATTTTATCCTTAGCTCCTGATTCCTTAGATTCCTTTATCTCCTTAATCTGTTGCTTCACTTGATTAATTTTTAGCAAAGAATTTCCTGTGAAATTGTTCTTCCATTTGAGTAGAGCCACTCTGTAGTTAGCAATCTGCCTTGTAATCCTATACATCCTATTTCCTTCCACTGATTGTTTCCAAGCTTGCTCAACCACTTGACTGATCCCTTCCTTCTTGAGCCATCTCTTGTCAAAAGAGAATTTTGATCTTTTTTTATCCATTCGAGGCCAATTATCTATGAGCAACATACTGTGGTCTGACCCAACAGTTTCCACGTGATCACATTTAGCCTTGTCAAAAAATTGGCTCCAGTTTATGGTACTTAATCCTCTGTCCAGTCTTTGCCTAATCTCCCCTTCACCATCCCAATTGTTGCTCCATGTCCAGGGATTACCAGTAAAACCTAAATCCACAAGATTGTTGTATTCAATAAAGCTGTTAAACTCCTTGAAACTCCTCTCTGCTCTTGCATTACCTCCCCACTTCTCTTCATTAGTTAATATATCATTGAAGTCCCCAGCCAGAAGCCATTTATCTCCCCACAACTGTCTTCTCGCAGTCAAAACTTTCCACTGTTGTTTCCTAATATTAGCATCACAGCTCATATATACTCCAATAAACCACCAATCAATCTGCAGCTCCGGATCAAAAACCAATGCCTCTATAGTGAGAGCTGTTGTAACTACTTCCCTGACCTCAATATCTTTATTCCAAAACAAAGCCATACCTTCTTTCCTATCCATAGCTTCCACAATCACACTTTCCTCAAACCTCAGAATTTTTTGGACCCTTTTCATGTAATTATACCTATTTTTGGTTTCACTCAGAAATATAATATTTGGGGAGAGGAGGTTATTAGCCTCCCTCAACTGGGGAACTGTCAAGGGGCTCCCTGCTCCTTGGCAGTTCCACACCAGAACCTTCATTGAAACTTGAGGGGCCAGTTAAGGTTGGCCCCTTCCCCCTCTTGTTTCTCTCCTAGATTCACTTCCCCAACTCCCAGTTTGTTTCTCTTGTGAACAATCTCCGTTACTTGCACTTCCACCATCTCCTCATCTATCAAGTTAATTTTCCTTTTTCCTTGTTGAATAGCCAATATCCTGTTCCCACTCAGATCCCTCAAAGGCTGACGAGAGATTTTGGGAGATCTCAACTGCTTCTTCATTTTCCTGTTATGTTTCTGGGCAGCCATAGTACCCAGCTCAGAACTTCCTGGATCGATTATCATTAAAGCTGTTTCATGGCTGCCAGAATCATCCTCCATTACTGTGACTTGCATAAGCTCTTGTGTTATTTGTTCAAGACCATTTCTTTCCACTGCACCTTTGTTCTTATCAATGATCTCTACCTCCACTGGGATACTCAAACTTGCTTCCTCTAATACACATTTACTGATTCCCCTTGGGAGAGTTTCTGTAGCTTCTGAGGTAGAACTCTCCTTCTGCCTGTTCCAGCTATTTTGGATTAAGCTTTTCCTTTCCAATTCTTTACTGCTAGCCTCACCTCTTAGTTGCTGATCCTCCCTCGATTCATCCTTTTTGGACTTCTCCTTGCCTGTCATATTTTCATCATTACTCTTCCTAGTTTCATCCTTCCTTCCTGCCACAGAGTCCTTATGACCAAGTTCCATACTTTCCTTAGCCTTAGGATTTAACCGTACCATCTCACCATCTCTAAAGCCCCAATAATTCATCTCAGAATTATACTTATTCTGTTGTTCCTTTTGGGGTGATGTTTTACCTATGTTGGCTCTCATCCATGGGCCATACTGATGTTCCTGCTTCCCTTTGCTTACCTGTATCACTTCCTTGCATTTCTTTTCACCATGTCCAATCACTCCACATTTGTAACAGAAGTCTGGGCACCTCTCAAATCTGAAGTTCAACCATCTCAGGATTCCATTTACTTTAACTGTCGTTCCCCTTAAGAGAGGTAGGGAGGTATCCAGAACCACTAATAACTTTAGATGTCTACCTTCCTTTCCTCCTACTTGAGGCACCACAACATCCTTTACTTCATGAAATATCGCTCCAATTTTCCATCCTGCTTCTTTTGTTATCCAGTGCACAGGTAAATTCCAGACTTGAACCCAAAGGGGTGCAAGATCAAAAGCAGAAGAGTCATCCTCAATACCTTCAAACCAGTGTTTTATCACCAGAATTTGGTTGTCCATGACCCAAGGTCCTCCCCCTACTATCCAGTCTCTATCCTCCCTGCTTGGTACATAAAACTGAAACAAGTTTGGACCCAGCTCTATAATCCTAAGATTCCTTGGATACCCCCAAGCTGAGTTCACAAAGTTCTTAACTCCAACAAAATTCACCACTTTCTCACCTTTGATCCTCCCCACTAAGCTTGACTGACATTCTTGAATACCTTTGTCAATCTCTTCTCCTCCCAGGTCAGTTCCCTCCAGCTCTTTGTCAGAAAGAGCAAATTTCCTTATCGCTTCTGCTAGTTCCTCCGCCATGGGGTATAAACAAATTCCAAAAGCAACCTACTTCCACTACTGAGAAAAACCAAGGCAAGACGGCCAATGCCTAAGAAAAAAAGAAAACGACAACTACCTAGGCAGACAAAGATGCACTAAAAGAAAAGAAAGACTCTAACCAGAAACAACCAAACTACTCAAAAAAGAGGAAAAACCATAACTTTTAACCTTAAAATCCTAAACAACCTGAGACAAAGAGATTGATCGGGGTAAAACCCCAAAAACTTTTAAAGAAAAAAGTAACAAAAGCAAGAGTGAACCATGAAAAATATGGCTGTGAGGATACCTGTCAGCATCCTAACTTCTTCCATGGAGTCTGTTTCCTTGAACCAGAATTATCGAGCTATCTTCTGCTTGCAGACACTTTCCAACGTTGAGCTGGAACCTTAATAGTGAAAAACTGTCCCCCTAATGGGGAGCTAGAATCTTTCCAGGATGTTCGGCTTTAGCTATTTCATCACTTACAGATCAAACTTCTTAATTTCATCAGCAATAATGTTGTTGATCTTTGTCTGATTCTTGGGATTGAGTGTAAAAGTTTGCGGAAAGTTTTGAAAAGTTTTGAACTCTCAAAAAAGAGAGACTCGCGCTCTTACCCAGAGAGAGAAACTCTCACTTTTAGGAGGACTTGCTTCCAATTATATATCTGTTCTCTGATAGATATGCGTATACTCTATACAGTATACAGACAAACCATAGCGGGAGAGTATGACTTCAATTTTGCATTACTGTTGAAGGGTGCATTGGATGAGCGTGAGAAACTAGTGTCGGTTCTTAAAGAAGTTGATATTGTGATTTCTGCATTAGCATGCCCTCAAGTTCTTGACCAATTGAAAATTATTGAGGCCATCAAAGTTGCTGGTAACATAAAGGTAACGTCAGTTTCTCATTTCATCTGTGGCTACGAGCACACCACTACTTGTCTCACGCACAAGGTATGTATGTGTCTCATCTAATCGATGCCTACCGAAACTTCTCAGACACACACATAGGTAAATATGTATGCTTGTCTCTGTCTATTTAACTTGTTTGAATGTAGAGGCATCAAATTATGGTCAATTTCTTCACAATCTTTGGATTGCATTTTTTGTGGATAATTTTTTTGGATTTTCACGAGAATATTTGTTTCACACATTTTCTAATCATTTATTTTACTTTACATATATCACACTTAAAAAAAGTTCTAAAGTGTTTATTATTATTGTTATTATTATTATTATTATTATTATTGTTATTATTATTTTTTGTTTTACAAAAGCTCCCAAATTATTGCAATCCAAATGGGCTCAAGAAACTAGACCTTAGTGGTTTCCTGTGGTCAGAGGTTTCTACCGTCAGATTTTGGATGTGAAGAAGATAGAGTAACTGTGTTGCCTTCCTATCAAGAATTCCTAAATAAGAAGAAGAATATAAGGAGAGCCACTGAATTAGCAGAAGGGATCCCATATACTTTTGTGTCTACAAATTGCTTTGGAGCATATTTTGTCAGTTACTTGCTTCGTCCACATGACCACGAGAAGGAGGACATAACCGTGTATGGCAGTGGGGAGGCCAAGGGTACTGTTCTTCTTATTGTTTTTCTAACATTCTCTTTTTTGACTGAAAGTAGTGCACACCCTTAAGATTTGACTGAAAGTACAACGATTTGAATCCCTAAACCTGTAGTCAGTATTGCATTCCATACTTTGCCTGCTTGCCAACTTATTCAAGAAGAATTGATTAAGAGAGTGTATGAGAAGGCCATGTGTAAAGTTGTTTTAAAAAAAGAGTAAATTACTAATAGCCTCCTGTGGTTTCATTTATTATCACGAAACTTTTCTAACATTTTAAAATATCCACTTCACTCTTTTATGATTTCATGTAAATTGAAAATTTAACCGAAAATAACTTATGTAATGTCATTAGTTGAAATGCTAGTAATGCACTTATTTAAATGCTAAATCAAATGACGACTTAATTAACTTGTACAAAATCATTGGGAGATTATGTGAATAAATAAAAAAACTACATTAGGTGAAGTGAATATTTATGCAAACCATAGGAGGTTAAGTGGATATTATGATTTCATTACATGCACTTTTAGAACATATGTGGTCTAATCACCATAACTGATTATGCATTCCATCCATTTTTCACTTTATATAAACTCACAAGGGGATTACGTGACTATTTTGAAATGTTTGTGGGGTCATTTGGCATTATGCAAAACTACAGGGTGATTATATGTAATTTATCCAAAAAAATTCTTGTTCATTTAGACTAAGAAAAATAATTTGGTAGAGAAATTTATGAACGTTAAGATGTAGAACGAGTAGTTATGGTCGTTACTTCAAATTGAGGATAGGTTTTCCACAACATTTCAAATAATTTCGAGTAAAACCTAAATAAGAAGATACATTTTTTATTTAAGTAGGGTTGGACCATTTAAACCTTTATTATAAGGATATAAAAAGTTAGAAAGGGTGGACAAAAAAATAGCAGAAAAAAGTAACACCATAAAGATGCAAGTCCGTCATGTTATCGTTTGGGAAAAAAAATAAATAAATAAAGATGCAAGTCAGTCAAGAAAAACTATAACACTTGCTTATTGAGTCATATATAAAGAGAACCACAATTTTAGAGACCAATTTAAAACCACATTATTTTATTTAAATTTTTTGGAAGATGCAAACCGTCAAATCTTCAGGCATTAATGTTGTAAAGCACGTGGTAGCCCCGAAAAGTACAAGTCCTCATGCGATAAGTTGTAAAGTTAAAACAGAAGTGGGAAATTAAATTGAAGATCTTTCGCTTTCAAGGTCTCTAGTCTTTACACAAAAATCCTTTTTTTTGTACTTGACCAAGATTTTGCGATGGAAAGATTATTATTTTCTGGTGTTGAAGATTGATAAAAGTTGTCCAGTATATTTACGAATTTATTCTGTCTCCTTCGTAGTTGTATTTATTTATGAAGAAGACATTGGAAGCTATATCATTAGAGTGGCAAATGACCCAAGCAGTGGCGGAAATAAGAAAAAAATTTTAGTGGGGGCAAAAGTAATACTAAAATTTTTTTCCTTCTCTTTTGTTAGTTTTTGAAGTAAAAAAATATTCACCAATAAGTTAAAATAAAAAAAAAATTTTGAACTAATTTCAAATGGAATTTTGTGACCCACATATCTTTTTAGAAAATTAGTTTATGAACCAATTTAAAATATCATATAATTCTTTCACTTATTTCAGAAAAAAATTTTGGAGGCACACTTAAAATAATATAAAAATTTTATACATATGATAGGAATTTAAGAGAGAGCAGTGGGGCCATGCCCCCAGTGCCCCCACCTTAAATCCGCCAGTGGACCCAAGAACATGCAATAGTGTTGTCATTTTTCGGCGGTCAACGAACACATTATTTCAACTTGAGTTGATTGAACTTTGGGAGGAGAAGATGGGTCGAAAGCTTAAAAAGATTCATGTCTCCGAGGAAGAAATTGTGAACCTTTCCAAGAATAAGTTAAAAATCCTCCTTCCTAGGCAGTTGAATTTTTAACTTGGTTTCACTACAATTACAAAAGAATATGAAAAACCTAGCTGTATTAGAAACTTAGAAAAGGAACTTTTAAAAATCAATAAAACGTGCCTTAGTTTTTTTTTTTTTTTGGTTAATCTTTATGTTGTTGAATTGGGATTTTTAGGATTCTAAATTATACAGTTTATAACGACTATTTGTCAATTACTTGTCTGTAGGTCTACCAGTCCCCGAGAACATACCAATATCGGTCCTACATATAGTGTGTGATTTGACAAAAAATATGTGTATTTGTGAAGGGGGGTAGCTGCAAACTTTGACGTCGAAAATAAAGATTTGGAGGCATCAAAGTTATAACCAAATTTAAAATTCACCACAATTGGAGAGCTACTTCATAATTTTGCAAACCTCTCCTAAGGTTTTTAATAATTGCAGAGAGCTTCCCTTAGGTTCTAAAAATTACATGTACCTCCCCTATTTTACTATTTATATAACAATATTGGTTCAACAAGCTAGATTTTCTCTCAAAAATCCTAAATTGCCCTTTTCTACAAGACTAAGAAAGAAAAACATAGTATATTCAATCATTTTTTCCACACTTTGTACAAATCGACAAACCTAATCCCTAGTAACCATCCAACCATAAGCTCCAAATCTAAGTGGCTGTCCAAAAGATTTCAATTATATATACAACATCGATGCTTGCCATGTAAAAAATAAAAATAAAAATACAAAAAATACACAAACATACCATTGACAACCAATTTTATACCCTAAAATTAAATCTCAATACCCAAATACCTTTTTAATACAAGCTCATCTAGCCTAAATCCACTATTACAACTCTCTTATAACCTTAAAAATATTAATACCTCAAAAGTAGAGACTAAATTTTACCTCCACAATAAAATCATAATAAAAAATTTCTCATCCAATGAAAGAAATCCTCATGCAATTATTGGCATTTTACAAAAATTTTCTTGACAACAAGCAAAATATGACTAATTTCACATCTTTGGTTCTTCTTTCTATTTCAATAATCAATTTCATTTTTATTTATCTATTAATGCGAGCCTCTTCATTTCCTTCTAGTTTGGTACATAATTAGCTTCCTCTGTCAATTTTGCAATTTTAATTTGCTAATATTCATAAAATAGAAGATAATAAAAAAAGGTATAGTATATTAACTAGAAAAGAAAGGAGCAAAAATAGACAAGAGATAGAAAAATAGAAAATTTTTTTTGGGTCTTTAAATTGAGATTTGTCTACCAAGGAAAGGGCATTTTAGGTACTTCACTATGTCAGGGGAGGTAAGTATAATTTCTTAAAATTAAAGGGAGCCGAGTGAAATTATTTGAAAGCTCAAGGGAGGTTTTTGAAATTATCCCCATTTTTAAATGCAACCCTCCAAAGCCAGTGTTAGCGGCATTTGAATGAGTACCCTTTTTGTTATTTTTTGGTGCAAGGGCGGGGCAAAGGCCGCTAACAAGAGATGATTCTAGGGGTGGCGGTAACCCCTGTGATCTCCGATCCTAAGAGATCCTTCAGCGCTTCAGGGGGGTTTAGGATACGACCTGGTCCTGGTTGTCTATGGGTTCCTTCGTTCGCTAACCAGTCTGCACCCTTGTTGCTCTCTAACTTGTTTGACAAATGATATTGCCACAACTAAGTATGTAATCGAGCCGAGTCGAGCTCGAGTATTAACTTGGCTCGAACTCGACTCGAACTCGATCGAGTCAAAAAATCTCAAACTCGAGCTTGACTCAAGAAAATCTTTAAAAGGTCGAGACTCAACTCGATAAAGCTCGACCTTTAGTCAAGCTTTATTGAGTCGAGTAATCAAGCTTTTTGACTCGATACCTTACTTGTAAATTCAGTATAAATTATACCCATAACGGTCATTTTATAATTATAATACATATATATTATTTAAATTATATGGCTCGACGAGTAGCTGCAAAATTCTAACTCGAACTCGACTCGAATGTGTACTCGAGTAACTCGAGACTCGGCTCGACCGAGTTCAAGCCAAGTCATTGACCAAGCTACTCGCGAATAGCTCAGCTCGCTTACATCCCTAGCCACAACTCCGATTTTGATGCCTGAGCAATTTCTATAAAAATGAGGGTTCCCTTTGAAGTCCAAGTGCGGTCTTGACTTGAGAAGGATAAAATCAACAACTCTTTTAAAAGGAATTATTTTAGAAACCTCCCATGATGTTTTAGATAGTTACACTTGACACCCTTAAACTTTAAAAACTCTCACTTGACACCTTATTTTAAGATTTTTTATTATTTAAAACCCATTTTAAAATATATTATTAAAAAATTCATTTTGGGAGAGTATGAAGGTATGAAAAAATATGAAGGTTTATTCTAATTGGAAAAAATATAGTGTGTTTTTTTAAATAAAAAGAGTTAATATATGAAAGTTTATTTGAAGATTTTATAGATGACAAAGATAATATTTTGTTACTATAAAAAATTTTAAGTTAATTTAAGGAGTTCTATAAATCATTTAAATATTTTTGAATTTTCTAATGTTTTTGGTTCAAATTGATGGCTTGAAAAGTAAAATAAAAATAAAAATACAACATGCTAAAAATTATATAAACTTTCTTGTATTGTTTTTAAGCTGGTGCAAAAAGATATTATCATGGTTGTAAATTATTGCAAGTTATGTTTAAGAGTATTATAAATCATTCATAATTTTGAGTAATTTAACATTTCTTATCCGAACCAATGGCACAAAAATTATTAAAGAGTTTTTTGATCATGTTAATAACTTTTAAATTTTCATTAAAGAACTACATTGATCAATTTTACAAAAAATAAGAGGTAAATTTGATATGTAATGGCAATTAAGATGTCACAAGAGAATGGCAAATTTGGAATGAAATTGCATTCTTTCTTTCAAAATGAATTTTTTAATATTATATTTTGAAATGGGTTTTAAATGTTACAAAAAGTTTAAATTAGAGGAGCTAGATGGGATTTTTTAAAATTTGAAAGTGCCAGGTAAAATTATTAAAACCCTCAAGGGCGGTTTTTGAAACTATCCCCTCTAAAAATGATGGTAACATTAGATATTGAGTGTAGGCATCAACATCAGCCAACTATTCAAAGAGGATAAAGTGGCACATAAAAGGACTTTCTCATTCCTTAATCTAGCGTGCGACAGTGGGCTTATAGTATTACAAACCTTGTTGCGACAGTAGTCTCTAGAACTTTCAATATAGAAGACGCTACCCTAGAATGGGATAATTTCGGAACCTCTCCTGAGGTTTCTTATCGTACCACTAAGCGCTCCTGAGACTTTCAAAATCTTGAGTTTGTGTTAAACATGGTTAGAGTCCTAAAGTTCGTGAGGATGGCGAGTTTTAAGGGTGGTTCGAGTCACAAGAAAAAGAAAATGAAAAAACTTGTCAAAAAAGATAATCGACTTGAATCCCTCCAAAAAAATTGACTGATTTTTGGAGGGATTGCTGGAGAAATTCGAGGTAGTGAGTTGGAATAAGAAACAAAATTTGAAAAATAAATAGGGGAGGAATCTAGTTGGATTTTGGAGGGATTCCGGTCAAATTTTATGACTTTCACTTGCGCAACTTGTTTTCACCTCCATTTTTTCACATCTTCTGAGGGACAATTGGCATCTTATTTGCAGCTGTAAAGATGAGATTCTAGCAATAATTCTTGATTTTATTTCTTCAATAATGATGTGATTTAGTTTGAAGCAAAAAATGTTGACGTTTGATGCCAATGTTCACACTTGAAAGAAAGACACAAAGGGGGTGAAGATTTCTCTATGAATAGGAGTTTGTGTTTTCTTTTTGGAGAGTTTGGAGAGTACAAGAATACACCACAAAAGTGTAGCTATTACACTTTCTTAGTTTTAGGTTAGTATACTATAGTATAGTTTAGGTGGTAATGTGTGTGGTATCCACTTCTGTATATTGGTTAGATTTAGATAAAGATGGATATGAAAAAGGAGAAGATGAAGCTTAGGTGACAAGGGTTCTCTCTTCTCTAATTCTTCATCTTTTGTATTGAATTCTTAAGTATGGTTAGTATGCAAGTTTTGGATTTGTGTTTCATTAGGTCTTTCTAAAGTTTCATGCCTTGAGTTTTGGTTGAACTTTCTATGATTGTACTGTGTTGAGCAAATTATTTAACACTTTTGCTTTTTTAATCATGATTAACTGGCCATTAATTGTGATAATTTTAAAGTGTTAGATTTGTAATGATAATTGAAATTTAATACTAATTCAAGGAAGTATTAAACCTAAAGAGTACGCTCACGAGAGTAGAGATGCACCTTTGTGACTTTTGTGGCTTTGTTCCATGTAATTTCATATAGGTAATGTACTTGTAACTAATTTCATAACCACAAGAGTATGTATGGATTAGTTATAAGTATAGTTGATTCACTACGATAGCAGGTATCACATGCATAAGGAAATTACGCTATAACTAGCAAAGGTAGTATTGTTCAATGATCCAAATATTGCATTTTTATGAGCAATTAGGGATATCATAACCTAAAGAGTTTTCATTTGTTATTTTCTTGCAATTTTAGTGTCGTTTTATTTTCTTCAATTTGTTGACTATTTAAATAATAGTGGAGTTTTAGTAGTGCCGATAGTTATCCATTCTTCCCTGTGGGTTCGATTTTTAATACCCTATATTGAATTTCGACTAGTATACTTGCAGAAAATTACATGTGGGGTATTTAGAAATTTAAAAATATAAAATTTGACTGTGGATTGAACTTAATTTTGTATACATGCCCCACGCTGGTCAGCATCAGCAGATATTCTTGGTGTCTAGTTATGGTCCTTTCTATCAAGACTAAATTATTGGAATGGCTGACGGATTGCAATTCTGCAATATGATACAGAATATCTACTTTTCTATTGCAAGGGAATATAATTCCACAAAAACAATACACATCATTGCACAAATCAAGTCCAAAGCTCAAGATATAAAAGTCATCTACATATGGCAAGCTACTATGCAGGGAAAAAGCTCAACTATATACGACTACTCTCCAATTGCTCCTTCAGATGATAAATGGTAAATCAATTTGTATCTCATGAAGTTATTATTTCCCAAACTCTCTCCTCCCATAATCTGCGCCAAAAAAGAGAGAAGGAGTTTCTCCGACCTAATCTTGAACTTGTCAGAATTTTTCGCAATGGCAATTGCATTTTTCTGATATCTTTTCTCAGAAATGATCCATCAAAAGACAATAAACCACTTAATAAATTGCTCATTAAACAACATGAACAAACATTAAAAAGTTTTAGGG